TTTGGGGTGTATGTGCAGCTTGTTCACGTGGTTTATATATGAAAGCACGGGGATGCCTGTGGTGTATGTACCCACTGCGGTGTCTGCGCTGCTGGCGCTGCTGCCGCTGCTGCCGCCGGAGGGGGTTTCGTGTATTCCTGCATTAGTTTTGTGGTTTCGAGCAGCACCAGAAGAAGGGTTTGCTGCTGCTGCTGCTGCTGCAGCAGCAGAGGAAGGGACTGCTGCTGCTGCTGCTGCTGCAGCAGCAGCAGCAGCAGATGCTAGTTGGGGGCCATGGCTTGCTGCACCCCATAGACTTGCTGCTCTCGCTGTTCTAGGCGCTAACGCGTAACCTATAAACCCTAAACCCTAATAAACCCTAAACCCTAATAAACCCTAAACCCTAATAAACCCTCATCTAAATCCACCTAAACCCTCTACTTAAAAGAAGCACCATCAGGCTATTTCATATGTAAAAAATTTAGGGTTTACAAGGGTTTACGAGGGTTTACGAGGGTTTACAAGGGTTTACGAGGGTTTACGAGGGTTTACGAGGGTTTAGGNCGAGGGTTTACGAGGGTTTACAAGGGTTTACGAGGGTTTACGAGGGTTTACGAGGGTTTAGGGTTTGTGTTTCAGGGTGGTTTGGTGGAACGTAACAACTTGTATATACAGAGAAATCCCAGACGCCAGCCCCTGGCTGGTGGGGCTCTCTGCTGCTCTGGGGCTCTCAACCCTCGGCCTGAAGGGGATTATACTCGGTACTAAACCCTAAACCCTAGTAAACCCTAGTAAACCCTAAACCCTTGTAAACCCTTGTAAACCCTAGGAAATTCTAGTAGTAAACCCTAGTAAACCCTCAAGAGTAGATACTCGTAGGTAACTGTATGCACGAGTCACACTTGAAGGGTTAATACAAATTAATATGGCGATGGAGAGCGGCGATGCTGCTGCTGCTGCTGCAGCAGCAGCAACAACAGCAATTGCACGCATGCATATATCACTGCTGCTGCTGTAATTTCAAGTGTCTCGTCGGCATCTTTAAGTCTACTGCTGTTTCTGTTGCTGCTGCTGTTGCTGTTGCTGCTGCTGCTGCTGCTGTTGCTGCTGCTGCTGCTGGTGCTGCTGCTGCTGCAGGGCCTATA